TTGAATCCTGGCTATATTTTGTCCAGATATTCAGGTTTATGGCTGTAAATGGTTTGAAAATTATAACACAAATCATCGCTCTCAGTTTTCAGAATGCTAGCTGGGATACCACCTGGTCCTTCAATGTGAGAGTGTACTTATGGCCTTGAGAATATTTCGTACACTGAAGTCTGCACTGGCGATTTTACAGAAAGGCATTGGGATCAGGTGTGATTCATCGATCGCGTTTTCGTTTGTTAATGTAGCAGAAAAATGTTCACTAAATAGCTGTGAGACGTTTTTGGTCTTCATGCACTTGCTTGTCCTTAATAAATACGTTCTCTACTTCCACATCTAGGCATTTAAGTTTATTTCGAAGGGTTTTAGTAGGCACGCTTTTCCCGTGCAGTCGCCTTTTTATACGTATTATCTCTGTCTCAACACATTTGCAACTGTGTGAGTTCCACATTGCCTGTTATCAATTATACTGTTCTCACTTACACGCTATTGACTTACCTTGACCCCTTAGTGCTATCTATTGCTCAACTATTAACCGTGATACTCTTTATATCTCCTGCTTAGCTAGTTAAGTACATATTCCCCACTACATTCTAAATGCTTATATCTTGTTTGAAAATCCTTACTATTTCTCCATAACTGTTAACTGTATAGCATTGATGAAATAGTGTTTCTCAACAGGATGCGAGACATAGAACTCAATAGCTTCTTTTAAACATTTAACATGAGCCTAACAACACAAAAGGAGGGAGGATGGAGTTACTGACCAGCAAACATTGATGGTGTGGGCGATAACTTCAAACAGCCCATGTTTGTCGGGCAGAACATTTTGTTTGCTTTCGGCTCTTTAGATTGATGAGACGACTAATCAGTAACACTGGGGTTGCTCTTATACGCTTGCTACTTCTGTGGTTCATGTTTCCAAAACTATGCTGAGGTCGCTATTCCGTCGAGACACCCGCAACATTCTTACTCAGACACTTACAGTATGACCTAGTGGTTGGCATTCAATAATAATAATAATAATAAAACAGTAAGACAGTGGGAGATTTTATTCATCAAAGTTTTCTTTTTACAAACTCTACTCTTTCAACTAGAATTTCGATTTCAACGTACATAAATCCAGCTTCTTACTTCGACTTCTCTTCTGTCCACCTGACACTGCACAACTCTCCCTTCTTTTTTGCTGTACTCCTTTATCTGTGTGTTATATTCTTATATTCCCATAATTTACTTTAATTTAAGTGGTCAGTATGAATTTTATCTTGACTTACTACTGTATTGACTACTTCAACATGACAGGTTAAGTAGTGCTTTGGTTATATATATACACTTGCCACACTGCTGCCTTTTTCTCTCTCTCTTCTCCTTTTCAGAAACCCATTCACGGTAGGAAATCCTTGGCTACTCTACGGAACATGCACCCTAGGTATATGACTGTCTGGATCACAGCTCGTATCAAGCGCGCTCCATATGACCTTACCCAACAAATTCACTATTGATCTCGGCAAATCGCCAAAAGAACCTATTGTGCACCTTCCTTCCTTATTTGTGCTCTACTATTGAAAATAAGGCTGTACAATAATGTTTCTGTCAGTGACATGGTGTAAATATGCAATCAGAAACTGACTCTTATACTTAATTTAACTGCTATAACTTTACAGTAATTGTGACAATTTGATCTAGCCTGTAAACTGGCGTGACTCTTGTAACGTAGTTATTTGAGAATAAATACATGTTATTATATTATTATTACTGTTTAGAGCATCTTTAGTAAAGGAGTTACTAAGACCTACATGGGTGTTGTATGAGGAATTATGGGGGATATGTTAAGTAGGTAACTGAAACTTACAGGAGGGGATTTTAGCCCGGGGGAAATGTGGAGAACGTTGCCTGCGGCTTTTATACTCTGCATGTGGTATGAAATAACTTGAGCTAAATGTCGCGCAAGAGGTACTACAAGTGACTGTATCCCACCAAATCTCTGAGTAGGCTGGCAGTGCAGTGCACCACAGTTTTTGTATAGTCTTGATGATTCAACTCGTTACTAAGGTTATATTTATTCGGAATAGTCTTAACTTGGGGATGGTTTGCAATGTACGAGTGCCAGTTGTTATGACCTTTTCTAAATTTGGAGGTCATGTTTAACAACTGGCTTGGTAGGTAGGATGTATCGAATTTTCATCCTTGGAGTTTATGCAAATAAAATCCTGCAGATTAGGGCTAGGGTATGTGGTGAAAAACATTCTGCTTCCATATTTGCGAATAATTCTAGGGTTTGGTGGTTGTGCGGTGTACCTAACTCTTGGATAGTTATTATTTGATCACATGTTGGTTTGACATGTTCTTAATATTATCAGTCTTAAAACTTATACAGGCTAAGGGCACACCGCATGGCACTGAAGAGTGAACCTGTTAATTGTAGCTGGGAAAGTCACAGGCAAGCGGGTTTGAATCCCACCTATTTTTTTATTTGAGACCTAAGATTTAGTCTGTTCACTTTTCTTAGTTAAAGATGGGGAATGTTTTGGTTCCCTAGCCATGTTTTGCGAAAAAATTTAGTTTCTTCCGGGTACTCTGGTGGAATATATTTTGGGGACCTAGTCTTAATTAATTTTAGCTGGAATTTTGTTGTTTTTTGGGACATATTCAATCAATTTAACGTTCGAACAGCCAGGATTAGAACTGCAGGTGTCGTTAGATTTCTTGATGACAGACGGGCTTCGTACTTTGCCAGAAGATTTACAGTCAACACATTCATCAAGATCTACAATGTGGTTTATGTGCTTCTTAATGTTTATGACAGTGGGAGTTGTCTCCAGTTCAGCCACTGTCACAACCATATTAGCCTTGTGTCCATTATAACTTCAGCCGTTTGATTTTTCCACTAGGTCTGATCTCCAACTATGAGATATACCCCCAAACACAACTCTACTAGCGGCCCGAATCATATCACTCGAATGGTGGCACCAACAAATCGAATCCAATACCCATTATCTTTTTCTTGAGCTAGTACAAACAAACCGATTTCTTTGCGCTCGATTATCGCTGTTTCGGTATGGTTCCAGGTGCCTGGTACTGTCCAATGAATGGCAGTATAGCGAATCGACTGCACATGTCCTAGTGAGTCAGGTATTGTCTGAGTTTGTTTAACCCGTGATTTTAGTGAAAACGTTTTGGATGGTGATACAATGGTAGCGAATCATTGGTTTCAGTAACTTGACTCAGTATTTTTAACTCAGGTTGAAGATCATATTTATTAGTTTTCGCGGACCTTCAAGTATCACATTCTGTTATGATTTCCTTGTTTAAGTGGTCCATGTCACAAGGAACAAGTTTCAGTATTTCCTTAACATCCATAAGTCACATTAACTAAGTTTTCAATTTGTCTACCTCCGGTGCATACAATAAACTCATCCAGGTTAATATTGTAGATTTATTTCGACAGTGGCTGTCCCAGTTGTTTCCTATAGAAACACTCCTGTACGTTCCTCCTAGTTCCGGGTCCCGACCAAATCAAAAAGGGCAAAATTCTAGGAGAAAACGTCTCTATATTATTATAAAATGGAAATACAAAGTCTTACGGAATTTGTGTTTCTTCCAGGGTTAAATTACTCCGCAGAGTATCCAACACAATAGCCGATAAGTGACACTAAGTCCAGCAGCCACCGCGTCCGTCCAAAAATGTGGCGGTAGCCATATTATATCAGATTTAAACAATATATGTACAGTTCAGAAGCAAACACAAAAACTTCAATATAAGTACAAATATAGAAAGAATAACAATATACAATGATAAAATCTCAAATTGGAATCAAATAAAATACCAAAAATGTCAAGAGAAAAAGTCCATCATGTCATAGCAAAAATATGTAAACATGGAGGGATTTTCCAAAAACACAAAACATTCAAAAAGAATTCTACACCGGCCCGCAAAATCCCTCCATGCAAAAAGAGCAAGCGTTAATGACACTTTATTTAGGGTTCCCCGTTATCCCCTAATCCACACCGGAATAACGTGTAGGACTTACAGCAGTACGCCTACCCGCCATCCAACATGGATATGACCTATCGTGTTAACTAGGTACCTATACTTTCCCATCAGGCCCTTGATTCCCCTATCTATCGTGGAATGACCTAACGGTAGTATAAACCTTACCCAATTAACCCATACGAACATGAACAACACGTCGCAAAACTGGTCATATCCTATCCAAGGACTACATTCTCTATCATGGGGACGAGTCGCCAATCCACCACCACTTGCTCCGATCAGCAGATACCATGAAGTCCGTGATGCTAACTTATCAACAGAAGTTTTTGACCCATAAATAATATGCAAGGGTGGGATCTCCAATTTTGACATTTCATCGTCTCCAGAAGACCTTAAGTAGCATGACGTAGGATCAATATTTATCCTTCCATCTCCTGATGCAGAGGAGGTTTGAACAGTATTCATCATCGTCGGTAACTCATTTGTCACATCAGTGACATCCAGTTTATTATCAACGTCTAAATGATTCCGTTCTGCATTAGCATCCGTTTCAGCGGCACAAGACATATGCTCAACAATAGCATCGTCATCACACAGCACTGTAGACTGGCTGTTACCATCAAACACTTTCTTCTCATCATCACTCGACTGACAGTCAACCGTAATAGGAACAGTTACAGTTGCACAACCTTGTGCATCTTCAATCAACTTAACCTTCGTGACGAGGTCCGATGGCGTCGAAACACTAGGAGGCTCATTCGATGAAGTTGATAAACTAGTCCCTATAAGTGAACTGCTGACACTTTCTATATCCTTATTATCACTGTCACTACTAAGGTTCTGATGGCTACTATTTCCATGGCTAGTCGTAGCATCCGAAAGAGCATGAGGTTCAGGCTTCTTAGTAATAGTAGCATCATGTCTCCTAGGCTTCTTAGCCGTTACTGTACCACCATCACTTATCCTAGAATCTACTCTAGGTCCAGTTATATAATTTACCCTAACTGAAGGGTTCCGAAAATAAGCTTTATTCCGTTCAGTCAATCCTGCCTGGGCCTTATTCATATTTGCTGAACTCATTAACCTCTGATTACTCGAATCCAAATAACCGTTCCAGGCTTTTCGAGCAGCTAAGAGGCTTTTATCATCACACACTTCGGATCCATCTTGATGCCTACACTTTTCACCTTTTTCTTTCTTTTCTATACTTAGAAAAGCCATCTTATCTGTTACACCAACCGGCTTCTTGCTAGGACACGCATCAAGAGGCTTTACATCGTTACGGTCACATACTCGTCCTTCATCAGCGTATGCTTTCGTGATATAATTGACAAATCTCTTATCTTCCGAGCGTGCTTTAGGTAGAAACGAAAAATCCGAATGTCTCGCACGCAGACCACTAGTAGCTTCCGTATTATTTCCTGTTTTAGCCTGATAAGCTAATCTTCCAAACCTACTACTAGCTATCTTAGCACGAGACATAATAAATTCCGTCAATTCGTTAAAATTGGGCTCTCTCTCCTCTTCGTCCCACTTGAATACTAGCTCTGCCCACTGGGCTTGCATTCGACGAGGTAAGAGCCTTACTATTCGTTCTAAAGTAGCCATAGAGTTAAGTTCAGCTGTACAATTTAACTGTTCTAAAGTTAAAGCAGCGTTCTGCATTTTAATAGCCAAGTTCGTCAATGATTCAGGATCATTAAATTCTACATTCCCAGTTCTAAATAAGTCCTCTAAGGTTTCTCGCGCTATTACATGCGACTGTCCAAAGAGCTGTTTTAGAATGGCCTTAGCTCTCTTATATCCTGATTGTGGATCCATAATAATACAGCCTTCAATCGCATTTTTTGCTTTTCCCTTACAATAATGAATTAAATACAATAAACGCACTTGATCATCCTTTATTCGAGGTTCTATAAACGTCTCTATTTGTCGTATGAACCTAAAATAGTCGCGAGACCTTCCATCAAAAAATGAGAGTTCAACCTTAGGTAGTTCTAAACCCTCTATCGATGACTTACAATAATAAATATCAGACATAACATGTGGGTTACCCATAAAAAAGTTATCATTAACGACTTGCCTAGAGCCCTGTGATCCGTCGAGCTCTTCCACCGTCCTCATGTGTGATTTTTTTCTGTTTGACATCATAAATAAAGTTCAGTAGAAAAGGTAACAATACAAAATATAGTAATTCCACGGTTCAGTTCAAAAATATGATAAGTAGTTCCAACTTCTTCCTCCAAGGAAGTCTAGTATGATAAACGATTAAAATTCCAAATGTTTCTTTATAATTCTTAATAATCCGAATAGTTCCAAAATATATATGTTCAGATGAATATTTCCAAAGTATAATCCACGAAAGAAGAAATTCCACAAAGTATAGTCCACGAAAGAAGAAAAATTCCAGACTGTAGATTTATTTCGACAGTGGCTGTCCCAATTGTTTCCTATAGAAACACTCCTGTACGTTCCTCCTAGTTCCGGGTCCCGACCAAATCAAAAAGGGCAAAATTCTAGGAGAAAACGTCTCTATATTATTATAAAATGGAAATACAAAGTCTTACGGAATTTGTGTTTCTTCCAGGGTTAAATTACTCCGCAGAGTATCCAACACAATAGCCGATAAGTGAAGCTAAGTCCAGCAGCCACCGCGTCCGTCCAAAAATGTGGCGGTAGCCATATTATATCAGATTTAAACAATATATGTACAGTTCAGAAGCAAACACAAAAACTTCAATATAAGTACAAATATAGAAAGAATAACAATATACAATGATAAAATCTCAAATTGGAATCAAATAAAATACCAAAAATGTCAAGAGAAAAAGTCCATCATGTCATAGCAAAAATATGTAAACATGGAGGGATTTTCCAAAAAACAAAACATTCAAAAAGAATTCTACACCGGCCCGCAAAATCCCTCCATGCAAAAAGAGCAAGCGTTAATGACACTTTATTTAGGGTTCCCCGTTATCCCCTAATCCACACCGGAATAACGTGTAGGACTTACAGCAGTACGCCTACCCGCCATCCAACATGGATATGACCTATCGTGCTAACTAGGTACCTATACTTTCCCATCAGGCCCTTGATTCCCCTATCTATCGTGGAATGACCTAACGGTAGTATAAACCTTACCCAATTAACCCATACGAACATGAACAACACGTCGCAAAACTGGTCATATCCTATCCAAGGACTACATTCTCTATCATGGGGACGAGTCGCCAATCCACCACCACTTGCTCCGATCAGCAGATACCATGAAGTCCGTGATGCTAACTTATCAACAGAAGTTTTTGACCCATAAATAATATGCAAGGGTGGGATCTCCAATTTTGACATTTCATCGTCTCCAGAAGACCTTAAGTAGCATGACGTAGGATCAATATTTATCCTTCCATCTCCTGATGCAGAGGAGGTTTGAACAGTATTCATCATCGTCGGTAACTCATTTGTCACATCAGTGACATCCAGTTTATTATCAACGTCTAAATGATTCCGTTCTGCATTAGCATCCGTTTCAGCGGCACAAGACATATGCTCAACAATAGCATCGTCATCACACAGCACTGTAGACTGGCTGTTACCATCAAACACTTTCTTCTCATCATCACTCGACTGACAGTCAACCGTAATAGGAACAGTTACAGTTGCACAACCTTGTGCATCTTCAATCAACTTAACCTTCGTGACGAGGTCCGATGGCGTCGAAACACTAGGAGGCTCATTCGATGAAGTTGATAAACTAGTCCCTATAAGTGAACTGCTGACACTTTCTATATCCTTATTATCACTGTCACTACTAAGGTTCTGATGGCTACTATTTCCATGGCTAGTCGTAGCATCCGAAAGAGCATGAGGTTCAGGCTTCTTAGTAATAGTAGCATCATGTCTCCTAGGCTTCTTAGCCGTTACTGTACCACCATCACTTATCCTAGAATCTACTCTAGGTCCAGTTATATAATTTACCCTAACTGAAGGGTTCCGAAAATAAGCTTTATTCCGTTCAGTCAATCCTGCCTGGGTCTTATTCATATTTGCTGAACTCATTAACCTCTGATTACTCGAATCCAAATAACCGTTCCAGGCTTTTCGAGCAGCTAAGAGGCTTTTATCATCACACACTTCGGATCCATCTTGATGCCTACACTTTTCACCTTTTTCTTTCTTTTCTACACTTAGAAAAGCCATCTTATCTGTTACACCAACCGGCTTCTTGCTAGGACACGCATCAAGAGGCTTTACATCGTTACGGTCACATACTCGTCCTTCATCAGCGTATGCTTTCGTGATATAATTGACAAATCTCTTATCTTCCGAGCGTGCTTTAGGTAGAAACGAAAAATCCGAATGTCTCGCACGCAGACCACTAGTAGCTTCCGTATTATTTCCTGTTTTAGCCTGATAAGCTAATCTTCCAAACCTACTACTAGCTATCTTAGCACGAGACATAATAAATTCCGTCAATTCGTTAAAATTGGGCTCTCTCTCCTCTTCGTCCCACTTGAATACTAGCTCTGCCCACTGGGCTTGCATTCGACGAGGTAAGAGCCTTACTATTCGTTCTAAAGTAGCCATAGAGTTAAGTTCAGCTGTACAATTTAACTGTTCTAAAGTTAAAGCAGCGTTCTGCATTTTAATAGCCAAGTTCGTCAATGATTCAGGATCATTAAATTCTACATTCCCAGTTCTAAATAAGTCCTCTAAGGTTTCTCGCGCTATTACATGCGACTGTCCAAAGAGCTGTTTTAGAATGGCCTTAGCTCTCTTATATCCTGATTGTGGATCCATAATAATACAGCCTTCAATCGCATTTTTTGCTTTTCCCTTACAATAATGAATTAAATACAATAAACGCACTTGATCATCCTTTATTCGAGGTTCTATAAACGTCTCTATCTGTCGTATGAACCTAAAATAGTCGCGAGACCTTCCATCAAAAAATGAGAGTTCAACCTTAGGTAGTTCTAAACCCTCTATCGATGACTTACAATAATAAATATCAGACATAACATGTGGGTTACCCATAAAAAAGTTATCATTAACGACTTGCCTAGAGCCCTGTGATCCGTCGAGCTCTTCCACCGTCCTCATGTGTGATTTTTTTCTGTTTGACATCATAAGTGAAGTTCAGTAAAAAAGGTAGCAATACAAAATAGTAATTCCACGGTTCAGTTCAAAAATATGATAAGTAGTTCCAACTTCTTCCTCCAAGGAAGTCTAGTATGATAAACGATTAAAATTCCAAATGTTTCTTTATAATTCTTAATAATCCGAATAGTTCCAAAATATATATGTTCAGATGAATATTTCCAAAGTATAATCCACGAAAGAAGAAAATTCCACAAAGTATAGTCCACGAAAGAAGAAATTCCAGACTGTAGATTTATTTCGACAGTGGCTGTCCCAATTGTTTCCTATAGAAACACTCCTGTACGTTCCTCCTAGTTCCGGGTCCCGACCAAATCAAAAAGGGCAAAATTCTAGGAGAAAACGTCTCTATATTATTATAAAATGGAAATACAAAGTCTTACGGAATTTGTGTTTCTTCCAGGGTTAAATTACTCCGCAGAGTATCCAACACAATAGCCGATAAGTGAAGCTAAGTCCAGCAGCCACCGCGTCCGTCCGAAAATGTGGCGGTAGCCATATTATATCAGATTTAAACAATATATGTACAGTTCAGAAGCAAACACAAAAACTTCAATATAAGTACAAAATATAGAAAGAATAACAATATACAATGATAAAATCTCAAATTGGAATCAAATAAAATACCAAAAATGTCAAGAGAAAAAGTCCATCATGTCATAGCAAAAATATGTAAACATGGAGGGATTTTCCAAAAAACAAAACATTCAAAAAGAATTCTACAAATATGATTGGTAACTGTTTTGTTAAAGCTTTAGTACATGCCTCAAAACGAATCACTTTGGATTCCTTACAATGATAGTTACTGAAGAAAAATGCAATAATTTCACTAGTTCCATATGCTTAAGATAAAATGTGTTCGGTGACTGATTATTTTAGAATAATTAACCCCCAAATAAAAATACTATTTGACTGTTTCATTTCCAACCTACTTGATTAAAGATTACTAAATTAAAGATTAACTAGATTAGCGATTGAGTAGAACAGAGCACATAGAGGAAATTCAGAAGAACCAAGTTGTTAGTAATAATGTTGATTTTCAGAGTATAATAATGAGGCACAATATTTTATTTATTCTGTTTCTTTTTATCTCTGTAGGTCAAGAAGTCATAAGTGAGCTCTTTCATAGTATAGCTGTCCAGACCAGCTTGTAATATGATTTCTCGGTAGGAAGTAAAAACCAGTGCAATGTTACAGACCTGAGTCGTAGACGAGGTTAACAAGGAAAAGTAACATCAATCCCGCTATATCGTAAGGAGCTGTAAGCAAACAAAATGTTCTGCCACACAGACATGGGTAGATTGAGGTCATCGCCCCACCGTCATGAATGCTGGCCAGATACACCACCCTCCCTCCTTTTGTGATGTTAGGCTCTCTTACGTTTAATGGTTGTTTGTAAATAATGGTCTCTAGTCTACTCTTTATTTTTTCGTACACCTTATCGGAATTGACTTTCTCTACTAGCTCCATATGACAAGCAATCCAGACAACTTTGCCAGACAAAATATCCACGTAGCATATCACACTAATCTTAAGTTAACTAATGGTATAATTTGTAAAATGTGTCAGTTAATAGGTAGTTTGGAGATAGGAAGGACAGGGAGCTGGAAAGAGGAGAAAGAGAAGAAAAAGAGTTGAAATAATGTTAAAAATCAATGAGTAAAGCGATCAGTTGGTAAGCAGGCAAGGTATTTGGATGTTAATTAATTGGGGAAA